ATGTCTAGAATAGAATGAACACAGAAATGGACCGAAGGTACCAGTTTTGACAAAAGTTTCGTCAGAAAAGAGCTAGCTTCTATGAGATGTGAAATAAGGTCTTGCTTCGATATCAGAAAAGTTTGAAGCAACCTAGCCTAATTTAAAGTAGAGAATTGGAAAGCCATCAATAAGCAGCCAATCTTCATCGAAATCTCATTCATTTTCATTCACTTTCAACTAATTTCACCCAATTTTCTTAGTTTTTTCTCATTTAATAAGAATTTATTGTGTTATAACGTTATGGGTAACGATAGTAGATCGTAACTTAATAATAATAATAATAGTTTTTTATATTCTTTCCGCTCTTCTTTCTCTTCGACCTTTTAAAACAGAACTCAAGTCGCTCGGAAAATCAATAGCAAGAAGAAAATTAAAAGCATTTGTAAAGTTTTCACGTTGATATCGTACAAATCGGTGAGTTTATTGAATAATCTGATTTGATGTAAAGGATTGAAGGAAGGGATAAAAACTACCGAGTACAATGGAGTAATCTTGTAAGAATGGCTCAAGATATTATACAATTGTACAGTACAATGAAATATTCTCACAAAAATCGATCAAGCAATATTTAACTTTACCAATGTCGTAGTGTTACCGAGGCGAATGACGAAAATGCTTCATTTGTGAAACGCAATTCAAAGTTTAAAGACTCATTTTTTCAGTTATGTATTTTAGATGTACTCGGTAGAAGAATAAATTTGATGTTCTGCCCTGAAATGCCCCACAGTGATATTACAAGGATAACATTAGTGATTCTGAATGGCCCTGTCTACCAGCTGGTTCTTGACCAGTCCTCGTCTGTACCTATTTACAACTCGTTTACTGGAATATCACCTAATGGTATTCCAGATCTTTAAGCAGTGTAACCTTCACAAAACAAAAAAAACACCAATTCTCCAGACGTAATCCTTAACTAAAAACCACAATCCATTGACAGTTTTAACCTAATTAAGTAACAGTACTAATTATAAATTATTCCCAAGCCTAATAACACGGAATCTCCGTTGGTTCAACATGCGACATGAAACGTCGACTTGATTGAGTAACATCATCCGAGAAACTTACAGAAGCAGACGTACAAATCTTTCCAAACACTTCCTAGTACTTCTCGTGTGAGCAGATCGTGCTTACTCTTTACGGAACACCTGATGGTATTTCTCATTTGAGCAGACCGTGCTACTCTTAATGAAACACCTGATGGTACTTCTCGTTTTAGGAGATCATGCTACTCTTTTAGAAACACCCGATGGTACTTCTCGTTTTAGAAGATCATGCTACTCTTTTGGAAACACCTGATGGTACTCCTCGTTTTAGGAGATCATGCTACTCTTTTAGAAACACCCGATGGTACTTCTCGTTTTAGAAAATCATGCTACTCTTTTGGAAACACCTGATGGCACTTCTCATTTTAGGAGATCGTGCTACTCTTCGAGAAACACCTGATGGTACTTCTCATTTTAGGAGATCATGCTACTCTTTTCGAAACACCCGATAGTACTTCTCGTTTTAGGAGATCATGCTACTCTTTTGGAAACACCTGATGGCACTTCTCATTTTAGGAGATCATGCTTACTCTTTTAGAAACACCCGATGGTACTTCTCGTTTTAGAAAATCATGCTACTCTTTTGGAAACACCCGATAGTACTTCTCGTTTTAGGAGATCATGCTACTCTTTTGGAAACACCTGATGGCACTTCTCGTTTTAGGAGATCATGCTTACTCTTTTCGAAACACCCGATGGTACTTCTCGTTTTAGAAAATCATGCTACTCTTTTGGAAACACCTGATGGCACTTCTCATTTTAGGAGATCATGCTTACTCTTTTAGAAACACCCGATGGTACTTCTCGTTTTAGAAAATCATGCTACTCTTTTCGAAACACCCGATAGTACTTCTCGTTTTAGGAGATCATGCTACTCTTTTGGAAACACCTGATGGTACTTCTCATTTTAGGAGATCATGCTTACTCTTTTAGAAACACCCGATGGTACTTCTCGTTTTAGAAAATCATGCTACTCTTTTCGAAACACCCGATAGTACTTCTCGTTTTAGGAGATCATGCTACTCTTTTGGAAACACCTGATGGTACTTCTCGTTTTAGAAAATCATGCTACTCTTTTGGAAACACCCGATGGTACTTCTCGTTTTAGAAAATCATGCTACTCTTTTGGAAACACCTGATGGCACTTCTCATTTTAGGAGATCATGCTACTCTTTTGGAAACACCTGATAGTACTTCTCGTTTTAGGAGATCATGCTACTCTTTTGGAAACACCTGATGGTACTTCTCGTTTTAGGAGATCATGCTTACTCTTTACGAACACCTGATGGTAATTCCTGCTTTGAGCATTCCACTGCTATACAAATATTACTCCAAATTTTCTCATGCTTTAGACATGATTTTGGTTTACGGAATTGTCTTGCTTGTACAGATTTGTACTATATCCAGCCGAGTTCTCACTCATATACTACATAATAATATACTTCTTCATTCACCAATTTATTGAGCTGTTGAAGTCGTGAAAATAAATAGAAAGGGAGTTTTCCGTCCTACTTTTCAGATCCCTCAGCCGTCTGAAGTCAGCAGAGTGCGGGCTTATACCATAACCCTTACAAAAATGTATCTTAATGCCCAATCAGGAGAAGAAAGCGAGGAACCCAGGACGTAGGCTCATTTTCATATCAAGCATTATAGTGGGCTGTAAAACCTTATTTCATTCCCTGATCGACACAATGAAGACGACTTATATTTGTTACGAGTTTCGGACTATGAATACAGTCTTGTCACGCACCAGCCTATTTATAACAGTTCACGGTATTTTATATTTATTCTATCAGAGATTAACTTTAATCTCGTTATTAATTAATCATTTCTTAATTAGCAACTCGCATAATAAACCTGCTTGGTAGGCTGAATTAAATTTGAAATGAATTGAATTGGTTTAAAAACTATTTAGTAAAATGACCTACGAAGCTTCAATTCCAGATGTGTCACTGTATAGTATCTATTGAAAACTTAAATGGGTCCAATTTTTCTTCTCCTGGAGTCAGTGGCAGAGCCAGGTTGACGTCTGAGAAGGGGATGGGGGGGGGGGGGGAGGGGGGGTTTAAAATATCTGAAATAACCCGAATTTCTAATTTAGTTATGAGATTTTTACCAGAAAAACTTGCTTTCGGGGCTGCAAGAAGGGTGACTGCTCCCTCTGCCCCCTCCCTCTTTGGCTCCGCCACTGTCAGGAATGGTTGACAAGTAAAAAAAATCGTCTTTCATCCCCAAAACGTAAGAAAAACTCCAGTCTGAACTAAGGAAGATGATCAGAGTTGCAGGCTATCTTCCTGAAGAACATCATTGCTTTCTTATAGTTTTTAAACTTGCATTTAAACAGCACCCAAGATCTTTCTTCGACTCTTACACGTGGAGTAGCTTAGAAGGAACGATTGGTTTCAATGAAATACAATTTAAGATGCAAAAAACTGGAAGCATGTGACCCCCACTCCCAGCTTACGCCTCTGCATTTTTAATCGAACGAACCTATTAAGAATGGAAGAGAAAAACAAACAAATCAGAAAGATAATCTCTGAAAGGATTGGAGTAGAATTCACGTTCTAGGTCATCATCTTTCGATTCTTATTGCAGCTCTAATTATTGGCCATTATTGAGGAAATGGTTTTCATATCAGCCGAGATTGTGTTTCGTGGTTTCTGTAAATACTCAGCCTGGTGGTGAAGTTTGGGTAATAACACATTAATGGCGGACACTCAAATTCTACTCATTATTTCTTAGGATTCATTCTGGATCAATTTAGTAAAAAAGAAAATCGAGCGAAAAACTTGAAGGTGGTTTTAGATTGTTACTTTGTTTAAATTTCAGGATTTCAGATTCTAAGATGACCGACAGTGAGGTTTCTATGGATCATTAGTTGAAGGGGTCGAGAAGGGGTTACAGAACTTTTAGAGGGGGATGGGGGAGTTGTAAAACTTGGATGGACATACAACGCCACTGTGTGTTGGATGAGTCAACTTCATCCCAGGGGAGTCCGCTATGAAAATATTTTCATATATATCAGGCTGATGATTGATTGTGATTTGGTCATTATATAACCGATAGGAGACATGACTTGCTTCCAAGTCTGGAACACCTTATATAATTGTCTTCTTTAGAGATACAGACGAGCTAATTTTGTTGACCAATCATACTTTAGTCTCAGAACCGGGATTTTTTTTTTAGCTAAGCCAATCAGTAACAGTGTTCAGAGCTCACCGTTCAATCCATGTGTGTCCATGCGTTTGAATGTTAACTCATCATTTTAAGATACTCTGTGATTGTAGAAAAGACATAGATATAAACAGTGAGTAAAATTTTGCATTATCTAAGATTACTAGTACTTCTGAAGCCGATTTACATATTCAAGACTAAAATTTACCCCCCACCCCTCCAAAAGGCCGCATCTGTCCCTATAAAGAGGAAATCTTATGGTCCCTGTTTTCCTTATCAGTCAACACCCGAATCTACATGAATATTGATAATGAAATCGTTAATGAAATGTATCAAATAAAAATAATTAATCAATTCAACAAAAGGAAAGAATATGATCAAATTTCCTCTTTTTTTATCCAGAATGACAAGGTTGCCTGACTGCACGCGACTAGAGTGTGATAATTCCCGGTAGATGGCAGAGTATATGAGCTAGAGTGGTTGTTATCAACGATATATTTCGATATATTGTGATATACTGTTGTCTTATCAGTTGTTTATGAATTAAAATTGTAATAAAAAGTGTATATAATCGGTTGATAGTAATATTATATTATTATAGAAGAGATATGGTGATTATGATATAAAGGGGTAAGTTATTTCACGTCTGTAAGGTTTTATTATTTTATTCTACAGGTGGTTTATAACATTGTAATACTCTCAGCTCTTTGATGTTTGCCGCTATAAAGTTTATTGAGTGTAATGTCGTATTGTAGTAGAGTGGCTGTCATTCATTCATTTATTCATTCATTCATTCATTCCATTATTACATTCGTTCAATTATCCATTGTAAGCTTAATTTATTGGTCTTTACTGACATTTATTCATTCTTTCTTTGAGCAAGTCCTCTGTTCATTGATAGAATGATGACATTCATTCATTCATTCATTGTAACCCTAATTGAAGTTGCAGTGGCATAGCTCAGTTGGTAGCGAGTTGGATTGTCATCCGCTAGACATTGAGGTGTCATGGGTTCGAATCCTCAAGGTAAGAACAATTCTGATGCCTGTGTCAGTGCTTTCGAGAGTTGGTCCGGTGTCAGCTCTCACCCCCTAATGCCTAATTTAAGATTAAAAAAGGAAAACTACCCATCTGATCCCACTCTAAATATCTCATATCAGTATTTGTTCAATCCTTACCAGGTACATTTGGAAATCTAATTGTTTATAAATTAATACAACTATAACTATCTGTGAGATACAGTTTTATTATTTTGAGACATGGTGCTTCTTTTATGAATGAAATAATACAAATATAAAATTTTAATAACAAAATATTTTAACTGGTGTAACAGTGCTCAATACATCTTGAATGCTTTATCAAATCCTAAATGGATATTTCTGACTATAATTGTCTGTCTATGTAGGACGACATACAGTCCTATTATTGTGTGAAATAAAGGTCGTGTCTCTGGGGTCAAATTATCAGGAATAAAATGTCTTTGATGGAATGTAGCTCAATAAAAGTCTCTGATTGTCATTTTGTGTTGGAATCGTTTTGGTTTTGTTCTAAACAAATCATCTATAATATAAATTCTAGTATTAATTTTTTATTTAAATTGTACAGACATTGGCTATTGTTTTTTTATTGATAAATAATGGAATTCACGTCTATACGCCGTTCCATTGTATTAGAATTCAGTTTGTCAAATGTGGTGCAAGAATATTCACTCAAAGTAAAATTAGACCAAACTTTCGTTTTGTTTTTATAAGCTTTTATTTATAATATAGTCACTTCAGTTTTGGACTGAAGACTGGCCTCTTAAACATTTGTCAAAATAACCTTTTGACCTTACCCAGCTTTAGCCAATCAAATTTCTGTCCTCTACAGCGCTGTTTAAGAGGCCAGTCTTTAGACCCTAACTGAAATGGCTATATTAAAAATAAAAGCTAATAAAAAGGGGGTAAATAACTACAGATAATCGGGGAAAGATGAATTCCAAGCACCAGCTGGTAGAAAAGATCCTTAATTGTGAACCTAAGTTGTTATCCTTGCAAAGTCAATGCCAAGAGGTTTGGCCTAGGGCCAGCTGGTAGAAAAGTATCCATGTAAACCTAATTTGTTATCCTTTTGGCCTAGGACCAGCTGGTGGAAAGTATCCATGTAGACCTAATTTGTTATCCTTTTGGCCTAGGACCAGCTGGTGGAAAGTATCCATGTAAACCTAATTTGTTATCCTTTTGGCCAAGGACCAGCTGGTGGAAAGTATCCATGTAAACCTAATTAGTTATCCTTTTGGCCAAGGACCAGCTGGTGGAAAGTATCCATGTAAACCTAATTTGTCATCCTTTTGGCCAAGGACCAGCTGGTGGAAAGTATCCATGTAAACCTAATTTGTTATCCTTTTGGCCAAGGACCAGCTGGTGGAAAGTATCCATGTAAACCTAATTTGTTATCCTTTTGGCCAAGGACCAGCTGGTGGAAAGTATCCATGTAAACCTAATTTGTTATCCTTTTGGCCAAGGACCAGCTGGTGGAAAGTATCCATGTAAACCTAATTTGTTATCCTTTTGGCCAAGGACCAGCTGGTGGAAAGTATCCATGTAAACCTAATTTGTCATCCTTTTGGCCAAGGACCAGCTGGTGGAAAGTATCCATGTAAACCTAATTTGTCATCATGTGTATTCACCAATCATATCTGACTAGAGTTCTAGACTGTTGATTTGACTGTATTTGCCAATCATATCTGACTGGAGCTCTAGACTGTTGATTTGACTGTATCTACCAGTCATGTCTGACTACAGCTCTAGACTGTTGATTTGACTGTATTTACCAATCATATCTAACTGGAGTTCTAGACTGTCGGCTTGACTGTATTTACCAATCATGTCTGACTAGAGCTCTAGACTGTTGATTTGACTGTATTTACCAGTCATATCTGACTAGAGTTCTAGACTGTTGATTTGACTGTATTTACCAATCATATCTGACTAGAGTTCTAGACTGTTGATTTGACTGTATTAACCAGTCATGTCTGACTAGAGCTCTAGACTGTTGATTTGACTGTATTTACCAATCATATCTGACTGGAGTTCTAGACTGTTGGCTTGACTGTATTTACCAATCATGTCTGACTAGAGTTCTAGACTGTTGATTTGACTGTATTTACCAATCATGTCTGACTAGAGTTCTAGACTGTTGATTTGACTGTATTTACCAGTCATGTCTGACTAGAGTTCTAGACTGTTGATTTGACTGTATTTACCAATCATGTCTGACTAGAGTTCTAGACTGTTGATTTGACTGTATTTACCAATCATATCTGACTAGAGTTCTA